GTGTTGGAACAACATCAATTATTGTAATAATAATCCCTGAAGATGGGCAATGAATCGGAAACGTTGGACATAAAAACTAACTAACATTAAACGAAAGAGAAAATAATTTCATATATTTATACCTAAAAATAATAACAATATAGATCACTATGTAAGTACTTACTTTGACCAATACGAATATAGATCAAAATTTTATCATTTATTTTAAGTTATTTATCATTAATTAATTATCAATAATTGGTTGAACAACTTATTTTTCAAACGAAAAGAAACTAAAATAGAAAACAATATGTATAATTCAAATTAATGAAAAGTAGCTAGTTGAATGCCTAAGACAATTACTTGGAGGAATAAATAATATTTTGGAAAACATTAAAAAATGAAAGTTAATCAGAGCAAAAACGAAAAAAAAAATTACTCCCCAGGTTTCTGAAGATCTTATTAAAATAGAACTTATTGAGTATTAAAGTAGCGCAATTAAACGAAATAACAAATTGGTAAAAAACATTGAGAAATAAAAGAATACTTAAGTATTGGTCGAAAAATTTTTTTCAAAATAATACTAAAGGATCTCAGTGTTTGGCACAAGATATTTTCCTTATATACGGTTTGATTATATAGTATAATTGCACAGAATGCATATTATTGAATTTAAATTGAACTTGCAGTTCAAAAAATAATAATGTCAATTAAATAAATGGATCAGGCACTTTTTTTTTTTTTAAATATTTATTTATTCACTTTTTAAAAATCATAGAGGGTAACTATTCAATCCATATGATAATGTGTCTATGTCTAACCATAATGCCGCAATTAAGTAATGATATAATAACGAAAGGGAGCGTGAGAACTCAGAGATTGAATAATATTTGAAGGAAGAAAGTCTATTATAAATGTCTGCTGGGGCAATAAAGATTAGGACATATCCTTGTAATCGATCAGTTAGCATTAACCATATTAAACATACGGTGATTTAATTTGACAACTCCTTGTTCGGGGAAGTATGTAAACTGCTATCTTTGGAGCGGAGCGGGTTCCACTGACTGATTGAACCGGTTTCTGTACTCCGCGGTGAGAAAAAAAAAATCCACACAACGTAGGCTTTAGCAAAATTAATAATAAATTCGGTCAAAAGAAAGTTAAAATGTGTCTAAAAGTGAAACTTTTTGGCGCCGGAATGAATTCGAGATCTAGTAATGTACTCTTTAGCCTGATTCCCTAAAGGTTCTTTCGACAGAAAATTGGCAGTCTATGTCAGGTTAGCTTAAGATTCGTAGACAATTCCTGAGTCCACATAACAAAATAAATCTGACTCCTCTATCTCCCACAAGTACTAACCACAGACCCATGCAGTGGTCTTATATTCAATCATTCTCAATCAGTCTTCGGCCAGCCCGTAGCTGGTTTTCTTGAGGTATCCTGTATTATATCATCCTAACATCCAAAGAGTGGTCTGGCTCTTCCTCTTGTCCAATAGAGTGTTACGTTCAAAAACATTTTTGGAACCTTCTTTTTTTTTTTTCGTCATTTTGCCAATGAGTCTAGTCCAACTTATTCTCCACGCTTGATGTACCTCATTTTTTGACGTACAGATCATAGAGCTCTTCTTCCTTCGCTAATTCTCCCCAAGCATTGGCTGCTCCAAATATATGACGAAGGTGTTTCCGTTAATTCAGGGATTCCCAAAAATAATTGAAGAACAACAATTTTTAATCTCTAGCTAAGCTTGATACGAATGCCAGGCATGGATTTCTTTAAAACTATCCATATTTTTGAATAAATGTTTTAGACCTAGGGATTGAATAATTGACATTTGACTTTAAATGATTCCAAACATAAAGAGTTTGATTATTTATTTTTTTCATTGTTTTTTTTCCCGCTACCTAAGCCTTTTATTAAAGGTTATGACACGAGCACAATTTTGTTGGATACTTTACAAAAAAGAAATCTATTTTATTCAGAGTGATTAGCAATAGATTAACTAACAATATTTGGTATTCGTTCCACGGAGAGTGTAAAACAAGAAAAAACAGAAAAGGAATACAAATATAAGTGAATTTATATCAACAATTATGAAACATGAATAATGAAATGAAACATTTAAAAAACAAATAAGTCAAGAGGATAAATCAAATAATGATAATCATAAAATAAAAATCATTACGATTAAAAATATATAAGTTTGTATTGTGCGAGGTGTGTACGCACTTGTAGATTAAAGTAGATTAAAGTAATTCTTTAAAAAAATTTAAATTATTTCGATGAAATTAAAATCATATATCCATTTAAGAACTTCGATCTTGTTTCTAACCGCATTCCTTCCAATCTTAGAGTTTGAGACTGACATGCAATTATTCTTAATACATACTTAGTTAATACAAGCATGTAGATGGAATAAATGTTTATACCAATTATAATTCAATTTGTTTTTTATTTAAAAAAAATAAACAACAATTTACAACGACTATAAATGACAAATAGACAGGTGTCAGTTTTCACTTGTCCTGTGACGTAAGTAGGAACATTCCTTCCAACCTCCATTATTCATGGTTCATATGTGTCGTTTGCCGTATTGACTTTTTCATACGTACAGTTGCTGTTTCTTTTACCATAAAAAAATATATATCAATCCATAATTCAAAAGCCGTAATTTTCACCTTTTATCATAACTAGAAAAACTTTCAAGCATATTGAAAAGAGCTTAACGGAATGTGAATATATTATTGAAACTCTCAATAACAGTTGCAATAATAAAAGCAGAAACTTTTTTTCCCCTTGTGATTCAAACCCATATGCTCATCGTCTCATATTATTTTATTATTAATGAATTAATTTTATTGTACTTTTATTTTAATTTGATATGAAGTGTAAATTCTCCATTAATCTGATTTTATTAGTGGTTTATGATACCTAAAGTTTATATGATTTTATTTTATAGCATTATAATTTTATTTCTTTATAGTATTATAATATACTCATAGAATTCTATTTCAAAGTGTTTTTTTTTAATTATTTTTTTTTTATTTATATTTTTAATGGCTGTCTTACATTTTCCTTATTAAAAAAGAGACCAATTAAAAGCTAATAATATTTTATAACTCTGTGCTAGATTTGTGGGGTACATTCATTCTTTATCTTCCATTAATGTCAGTTTAATGATATTTAAATGATGGGTCTAATATTGAAATATTTTAGTACAATCTTTATTTTAATTTCGTATTTTTTGCTGTCAGAAATTATGTTATAGTTTTATTAGCTCTGGATGTAAGTTTTGAGGAATTCATAAATAACTTAAAATCGCTCTATTTGAAGTTTTCACAGCAGATTTCCTCCAATCAATTTTTTATATTTTATTTTATGATGCCCGTGGCACTTTTTAAAGCCAATTTATTTTGCATTTGATCTTATTCTCTATAATATTAAGTAATTTGCTCAGAAAAACTCATTTTTCACCTTCTTAATTTTAAACTATGAACTGTCCTTAATACCTCTGTTTTTCGTTTGCGGAATCAATTTTATTTTCCTCAATAGTGTTTTAATTTTTTTTTTTTTGGAGGGGGCTTTGAATTTTTTTTTTTGTTTCAGGAGACAGACAAGTTAACAGAATTATTTTTATTTGAGGAAATATTTGGAGAAAAAAATCTGTTAATACTCCATTCCGATGTTTTAACTTTTAGTAAAGCTATCAATGTACATCATAACTTCGCAACGGACATTTCCCTTTTTTTTTTTTAAATTAAATGAAAACCTCTTATCCCTAGATATTTTTCTTTTAAATCCAATTTTCAAGCCAAAGATAAACAGTTTCAATTCAAATTGAGAAAGAGAAAATACATAGTTGTAAAGAAGTCAGTTTGGAGGTTTTCATTTTAGGTCATAGATATAATTTGTACCATCATTATATTTTATCTCTTGCTATCTCATGAATTTTGTTTTTAAAAACTAACCATTCCAAGTTTAATGTCTGTTTCGTAATATATAATGTTCGATTAACTTTAGAAGAAATATTGTTTGTCAGAAAATTCCATTTTACTAACACTGATTAATGGGTTAATGTTACTTTTTTACCCTAAGAGTTGTAATTGAGAATTAAAAAATTTATAACTACATGTTTTAGTTAAATTTGATTTAATTAATCATTGTCTTCATACTAACTGAAATGAACTTTCAACGTAAATAGCGATTCTTAAACGTGGCGATGTTACAAATAATTTTTACACAGTAGCCTATTGTTAAAAGAATTAGTTGCTCACCTGTTGGGGGATATCGGTTCCCCTCAGCTGTCAATGGGCGTTATTGTCCCTTGGAATGGACATATAATTGCCCTAGACAAAAATGGTTAGGTAGCGAAGGGATCAATAAATCAATAGACACGAGGTGTTGACTGGAGGAGGATGGGCAGGTAAGAGTACACAATGGTGGCGCGTGCCGGCTCGGCAAAAACCTGGCAACTCCTCTTTGTGACTGGAGGCTGAGTGTGTCCTTTGTGGTGTCGGCCGCAGGGGATGGAGTAAACATCAGTCAACAGTAGTAATCTGCAGTGGCAGTGCAATAGGAAGGGAAAAGCACTATATATGGGGAATGGTGTAGCCAAGGACACCCGAAATTCCTTATAAGATATGTTATAAGAAATGGAAAAAACCTTAATATTAATTACATATATTAAAGTCATTTATAAATAAATGGTTTTCTTTGTAGCTAACTTTCAGTGTTGGTTACTATCGAAATTTTTAACTGTAGGTGTTATGCAAAAAAAAAAAAAAAAAAGCTCCCAGTACTTCAATACTTAATTCTGTAATTAGCATTTTAAGACTCGCTTTACCAACAAACTTTAATTAATTGAATTAGACAACAACAGAAACATCAAAAGTGGACTCTTTGTGTAAAAATACGTAATCCAATAAGTTTTGATTTTATAGTTATTTTATATTTTTGCATAATCATCACTGCCTAATACTTTTATTATGTCACTGTTTGCTAACCAGATTTTTTATTTGCAGGTATGTTCCGCTCGCCACTGGTTCCTGGAGGCGGGTTCTCGCCCAGACCTGTCCCCCCGCTGGTGACCTCCCCCCAACCCTTGGCGGTAGCCCCCCAGACTGCCCCCACGCCGCCTTCCCAACCCCCGCAGTCGCCTAGTCCAGCCAGGGTGGCAACTCCTCAGCTTCTGGTCAGTATCTCTCAGCATATACCATGTATATCCTCAAAGGATTTTTTTTTTATCTAAATATTTTTTAATCATTATAATTAATTAAAAACAAAAAAAAAAACCTGTAGTACTACAACCCATGAAGGGTCTGGGGTTCAGCAGTGTTTCTAGGTCAACAGTTGTGCAAGGAGGCGATTTGACCGAGATCACGCTCAACCGCCAGGTTTTCCCCCTTAATCAATTATTTAATTTAGAGTACCCACTTTATAGAGGCTGGGTGTGCCCCTAGAGGATTTCCCGACCCAGGATCATCCCACGTCTAATGAAACAGATAAATAAATTTTCTGCCATGAGCCGGGGTTCGAACCCGGGACCTTTAGCATTGGAAGCTCAGTAAAATATAATACAATAGATAATATAATATATAATTAATTTTAAGAAATAAAAATTCAATTTTAAATTATTAAGGGATAAAGGTTGATCGATGGGTAAGACTAGTTTTAACTATAGGTGCTGTATAGTTAAGAACAGTGGTGATCCAGATAATGTGGATATGGTAGGTAATTTATTGGGCGGGGTAGCCGAATGGGCTAACGCATGTACACAGCAGTGCCGTTGCCCGGCAACCTGGTATTATCAATCAAATGATATAAAAAAAGTCACGAGTTCGCGTCCCGGTGCCCCGAGAGTCTTTTAAATCTCCGCCCACACTCCCTGGCCCGGGAAAACCCGGTATAGCCTTAACGGCGAGGAAGGGGAGGAAAAAAAAAATGGTAGGTAATTTATTATCTGTTACTGGGGGCGGGGATTGCCAACTCGTGCATTGCTTGGAATTCGGTTAGGAAATTTTTTGAGATAAAATAATACTGATATCGCGTCCCGGAGACAAGGGGGTCTGGTCTTTTAACTCTCCTCCACCTCCCGCCCTTACCCCCTGGCCTGGGAAAACACCCGTACAGCCTAAAACGCGATGAAGGTCTCTTATTTCATGGGCGAACCCACGGAATGAAACTCGACCTTTTCACTTTGGTTAGAATAGGTTTTGTGTTATCTCTAGAACAAGCACCACCTCTCTTGCCCGTATGCCAGAAATGGTAGGAAGTAGATAATCGAATAAAAAAAAAAATGATTCTCTTATATCAGCCGTGGATTGACTCGGTGTTCTAGAAACTCTTCTTGGGCGCACCCAAGCTCTATAAAGTATGTATACTTATGTGGGATTGGGGATAACCTTATGAATTGAGACATGCATGTTTAATATTCTTCCAAAATCTATATTTGTCTGCAATAGAGATTCTATTTTTCTTAGTTTAATCATACTGTTAAAACTTATAATTAGAATTTAAAAATAATAGGCTGACTTAGAAATTCTCATGGCATATTTATCTAGATTTTAATTTTGGGTGACAACAACGGTTCATTATTGAAAATAATGAATCGTTGTAATCGTTCAAAAAATTCAAAAATTTAACTCTCCCTCAAAATTTGAGGTTTTATGTTACGTAGAATTCGGAAATCGAATAATAATAAAAAAAAAATCGTTGAATCGAACAATTTGGTAGAAAGATATGGTGTTCTAAATATGTTTTATGTCTTCTACTGCAAAGCTTATATATTTTGTTTTGTTATTTTTTTTTTTTTAAGCAAATTATCAATGATAAGAAAGAAAATTATTTTGGGAAACGTTAGGAATCCCTTTTCATTTATTTTCCTTACTGGTACATGGAAATTAATGTTAATTTTGATGTTAAATTGTATAGAAATAATGAGCCATTGTGTAATAATTCGCAGTTTTTTTTACTTTCACTTTTTTCATTAATAGCGCTAATTACTCGAAAAGAAAAAAAAAAACTACCTTCATGAAATAATGTTGAAGGGCATAAAAATAAAGGATAATTATGGAAGCATTAATGCTTTTTGCGATAAATTTCTTATATTATGTCTTCACCGTGCTTACATTTGAAACTGTATATACATTATATTTAAAAAAATAATAATATATTGTTATTTTTTTTTAGCTTGGATTACAAATATATCAAAAACATTTTTTTTTTCATTTGAGGGAACTTCTAAAATCCTCTTCCTCCATAGATCGCTAGGGCAAGAACTATTTAAACACAACAAAATATACGAATAGTAAAAAAAATTATCAAGGCACAACTGGAGCTACCAAAATTATTTACAAATTATCGGTTATTTTTAAAGGTTTGCAATCTTTAGGCATACATTGAAATTTATAATTTTTGAAAATATTGAAAACGCTTTATAGAAGTCTTAAGAGATTCACTTTAAGTTTTGATGTGATGAAAATAAATACGGAATTAAACAAGTAATATGTACCATCTTCAATGAGTGTTTTTATATACGGCATTTGGTTTGAAGATTACTGCGGATTTTAAGAAAATAGCTAAATTGAGTGAATTAAATCAAAATACAAAATCTTTTTGAATTATTATTGTAAAGTTTTTTAATTTTATTAACTTTATTAATGTATCAATATTTATAGAGCATATTTAATAAATATTCAAAAACATTGATACTATGAAACACTCTGAGCAAACAGATGGACAGATATACGGACTAGATGTAGTACGTGCTCAGTATGGCATGTTGGCTGTGACCTAAAACTGGGCAAAAAATACGATAATGGTGTGAACCACTCGCTAAGGACTCGATCCTGTCAACGCACTCCTTCCTTTACTCCATTCTCCAGGATACACAATTCTTTTTTGGATTCGACAAAAAAAACTCTAAAGAAATCCTTAGGGTTCTTCAGATATCACTGAACTTAGGAAAGTTGTCTGTCAGTGACCAATGGATGGTTCAATTTCATCATAATTTTTTTTAATCATTTAATGTTTTTAATAATTCTTTAAAAATTATTGCTGAACTAAAAATTATTTTCATATTTCGGTCGTATAATCAAAATATTTATTTATTTTTTTCTCTTGCATAGTAGCCCAATGCAGGAGGCGTTTATTTGCAAAAGTTTACATACACCATGCGAATTCGCTTATTATTTGTATGAATGTTGAGCTTACATTTTATCTATACTATGCTCTTTTTTCTAACAAAAAAATTAAAGAAAACAACATAAAATAAGAAAAATAAAAGGGAAAAAAAAAATTGAATAAGGTGAAAATCTTATTTTCGGATAAAAAAGTATCGTAGCTTTAGTTCTATTTTTTTTTTCCTTTTATTTTTCTGTATATACACTATAATATATATATACGAAATAGAGTTAAATGTTTTCAAGTATTGGGAACAATTAAATTGTTATATACAACTTAAATTTGTGTGATAATTGTATGATGAAAAAACCACAATCGCCTACATTAAATTAAGTTAACTTTCGATTTTAATGAGATTATATATCAAATAAACATTGAAGAATAAAATACGTGAACAAGCATAATAATAAGATAGGTAAATATAAATAAAAAATAGCAAATAACTAGATATTTGTATTTATTGCTATTTAAGATATTGATATTTAACTAACGATAGCAATATATAAAGTTGAAATACTAAAACTATACATAAACATTGATTAGGATAATAAAAGTACAAGTTATATTTTATGAAATAAACATTTAAAACACAAAACTAAACATAAACATAAAATATAAACATTTAAAAGAAAAACATATAACTTCAGTCAGTTCTATGATTCGGGTTTGGATTTAATTCTAGGTCTATCTTGGAAATAAAGTTTAACAACTAAATTTTATATTTTGTTCTCTGAAAGTAGCCATTTTCGTTCTTGCGTTACGCTGATTTTTATCAGGTCGTATCTTGGATGTTCGTTAGAGTATGTGTTTGAATGTTTGTGGAGTTTGTTAGTCACAAATACGCGAATCTGTGTTTATAGATGAAATATTTTAAAGTAATTCTTAGAAGGTCTGTGCACTGTCAGAAATTGTGTCAGTTTGTAATGGGTACTTTTTATTTTGTTATAGTTCTGTATTGTGATATGAGGTATGTATTTGTGGAGGGGTCTTCCTTTTGTAGAAAGTTTCCAATGTCTGTCTCAGTCTCGAGTTAAGTCTGTTCTAATAGATTTCTTAATGTAGAAAAGAGGCACTAAGCTGTAGTCAATTGATAAGTGGTTGTTTTTAGCAGCTGATTTGGCTAGGGTGTCAGGGTCTCTTTCGTTGCCGGAAATTCCGCTGCGACCTTTGATTCATAGAACTGATACTTTTAAGGTGTTATCCATAATCGTTGTATTGTCTGATTCGTTCAGTCAGTAAGTCATGGATTTTATAATTTTTTTATAGTCAATTAATAGTAAGGATTTCCCGACTTGGTCAGTCTGTTTTAAGATGTAGTCTGTTGGCTTATTTATTTATAACAATGGCGGGCTCCTCAATCTCTTACGGGTCATTTTAGCCAACCCTAACTTCCCAACCATGTATATATTTTACCATGTATACATGTTTATTATAGAATTAAGCCAACTGTCACTAGGGGATTTTAGAGGTAATAACACATTCTGTATCAACGTTGTTAGATAACTTTCAATTTTATCAATTTTCACCTATTAAATCTGCCATGACACTTATAAAAATAAAGGATACGATGTTGAGCATGGCTACAGTTAATTTTACCAAAAATGTTTACAATTTATATTAAAAACATTCTGAAAACCTAACTGCGTCATAAGCTGGCTTGCTTTTTTATATCTCATGTTTTTTCAATAGGTTTTCTAAATTACGTACTTATAGAATGGTCGCATAGAATTAATAAATTATAAAACTACACGCGGAACCGTAACAATATATCTATTGAATGCAAAAATCATGGTCTCCTCAAGATTAAAAATTGAAATTTAATAATAATGCGCTTTACATGCAAAGTAAATGATTTTTGACGAATTATAACGCAATGACATGAATAACCTTCTGCCGGACACGCCATCACGCTACTCGACGAGAAAAAAAAAATTGAGTTAGGAGATAACTTTGAAAACATTTCGTAAAAAGTACCTCCTGGGACCTCACGTGATGATCATTGCAAGTGATATTGAATAGGAATAGAAAGTGGGCTTTAAAATAAAAAATGACAAGGTTGGCTGAATAGTTCGAAGAAGAGTGGTTTCGGATTCCTATTTGGATCAGTTGTTACTTATTTTATAGCAGCCCTAGCGAACTTAAATCTTGTTTCGAATCGAGTAATTGCAGCGTGGCAACCTCTAGATAACCGTGAGGGGTTGATGAAAAGGATCTGAAGTCCCATTTGCCTAGCTGGTTCCCGCAGCAATAAACCCTCCTAGTCCCATTACGTCTACAAATAGAACAAGCCACTTTATTATCTCATTCCTTTACATTTTAAAATTTGTATTGCTTGTTAATTATATAAGTAATTTGAATTTATACACAAAATAAAGTTTGAAGCTTGTGATTAAAAAATAATTGAATGTAGAAACATTCACATATACTTTAAAGATTTATTCCACTTTAAACGATGTTTAGAGCTGATTTGCTCATTTACAAGTCATCTACAAGTAACAATTAACAAAGGAAGGAGATGGTCTGGGTGGCCGTCATAAATAGGCTGAATAGTGGCAAAACTATTTTATTGAAAGCCAACGTTTCGACCCGACTTTACAGGCCTTCTTCAGGGAGGTGTGTTTACCTAGGAGTTTCACTTAGAACTGACGAATTATAACGCAATGACATGAATAACCTTCAGTTCTAAGTGAAACTCCTAGCTGAACACACCTCCCTGACGAAGACCTGCAAAGACACATTGGCTTTCAATATAATAGTTTTGCCACTATTTAGCCTATTTATGACCGCCACCCCGGACCGTTTCCTTCTTTTATGATGCAACGGTCAACCATTAAAGATTCAACAATTAACAAACATAATTGACAATAATAAGTGATCATTGTTGTTAATTATTATTTTTAGATGAATTGAGAATGAGCAAATCTACCTGAACCGTCGTTTGAATTGGAATAAATCCTCAAAGTATAAGGGCTTATAAATTCCTTAAATACACCATATATAAGAACATTGAATGCCCTTGAAAAATACTACTGTAATAGCTAAATATTTACATAGATTTTATTTTATCATTACATACTTTCTATTAACTCATAATTATGATCATTTTTGAGAGAATTTAATTATCATTGAAAGGATTTGAACTCTGCCAACTTCAGCAAATTCTGAAAATATTTTTACTTGGCTTGAATTAAATTTTGTATACTTAAAAATAGTTATTCAGTTACTAGCGTACGCAAAGTACCTGTTTATTAATAAATAATAAAACCACACCTATAAAAAAATTGTCCTATGTCCTTTTTACATGTTTCAATACAATTGGTATCCTTTTAACGTTTGGCTAAAATTATCGTTGAATATCAAAGAAAAAATCTTAACAGGTGATTCTTATGAAGAGAGACATTAGTTATTTTTTAGTAATATTTTTCTGTAATAGTGACAAATGTATAAATGATAAAGACCAAACGTTTGATGATTTATGGAGATGATTTCATCCAATATTAATAATGAGACATTGGAAAGTGACCGAATAATCAATTTTAAGCGTAATATGAACATTTTATTCAAGCCAAGTAAATTTTAGTCAACATAGTAGTAAAGTAAAGTAAATGTGTTTTTTGTATTAAAAGAAAAATACATAATATAAAAATAAATTGATACTGATTGTAGAGTGGAAGATCAATTAGTGTCTTTTTTCTATACCTATAGAGTCCCAACTAAGTTGCATAGGTACCAAAAAAAAATGTATATATATTATGTAATATATATATATATTTTATTACATAATAAAACTTACTTGATATTGTATACGTTGTATTGTAGAGTTTATGTAATAATGTATATATATATATATATATATACATAATTTCGTATATATTATTATTTTATAAAATAATAATTACGTAAAATATTATTTTAGACTTTAATTTCAATCATTCAAAATGATATTCTACAGTGAAAATTAACAAGTCACTTTCACTGCATGTAATACTTTACACGCACATAAGCTTTTATGTAGTATTATTAATTCATAACAATATTCAGCATTTATAATCATGGATTAAAAAAAATTATAAAATAAATTATCGAATACGCAGAAAAAAGTCTGTTATTAGAATTCAAATATATATAAAATATTTATAAAGTTCACCATTAACATTTTGTTTTTTACCACATCCAAAGGAAAAGAGAACATTAAAATTAAAATAAAAAACTTTTCTTTTAACGAACGAGATTGCAAATGTGGAAAAACCTATGCATGCATCATGTTATAGATAAACAAGTTTTTCTTTTTCATGACGAAAGCGACCTTTACATTATACTGGGTAATGTAAGTTTTTATTATCATCAAAATATACTTTTATAAATAAAAAAGACATTTAATTACTATTCATTAAATATTTTAAGCAAAGAATAAATTTATGATACGATTTAATTTTAAAATACCATTCTGAATCGAAGAGATTTTTTCCTCATCTTACTATTCAAAAACTATGCATAAAAACGTGTGTGGGTATGCGAAAGTTTTATTGTGGGGTTTCCTCATGAATCCTAAGTAAAAGGATCATAAAAAAATAAAGAAAAACGGGGGGCATTCCATGACACACAAAGCTCTTGCGCATTTGTACACGTTTTAATATTGATATTTTCTTCTTGTTTTCTCATTGCTTTTTATATTGATATATTGTATATTAATTATCGATTTTAACAGGAAAGGTCAAATAAATTAATAAAATTAAGAAATATTGCTGGTAGGAAAATTTAATATTCAGATATCGATTTTTAACGGTGTCTTTGTCGATTTTTTTGTACTATGGACAAAAAAAAATAAAGCAAATTTATTATTAAAAAATAAGTTTATAATACTATATTTCGTAAATGATTATTTACTAAATACATAAGTATTTTTTATAGACACAGTAGAACTGAGAAAGAATCTTAATAGGTGGTTGATTCTTTTGATGAGAGATATAAACTTTGGAAATAATAATGATAATTTTAAAAATGTGATGTGATAGTTTTTACTTTTTTTCCAAGTATATGCACATTTTAAATATTCATGGAAAATAGTGAAGTTCACTTAACAAAAAGAAAAAAATGGTTCAAATTCCCCTATTATAAATAAAGGATTACTACTCACAATAAATATATTTTAAATCAGCCAGGGTTTAAAGAGAAACAGAGAAAGAGATCGGTGATTATAACTATGTCTACAAAGCAGCTGTTTATGATGTTTTTAAAGATTAAGCTCAACGTCTGTGGTTAGCAGCCGATATCTCTTGTGTGCAACCTTACTGGGCATTACTTGCAAGTAACTTTACTAGGTCTATCACAAAAAAAAGTTTGTATTTAACATAATATTATTACCATTTTATTTAATTAACGAACTGCTTCTCACTGCTCATATATATATATGTATATATATGTATACTCGTACTTGTATTTCTTAACCATATTTAATTAACTGCAATAATTGTTTTATTTTTATTGTTTAGGTGGAGGTTGCACAGGGCAGCCCAGGGTCCCAATCCCCTGGTTCACCACAACAACCACCGCCAGTGCTGCTGGAGGTACAAGTGAGCAGGTTAGCCGAGGCCGCCCAAGCTTTGGTTAACAGCTTACCGAGGCTGGAGCCCAAGTCCCACACCGCCAAGAGGAAGATGAGCAAGGACCTAGAGGTAAGCTTCAAAGAACAAACCCTTGTATCTCTTAAAACGCAGTAAATAATTTCGCCCATTAAGGCATCAGAGTCGAAAAATATTAAAACTACATTGGTACTTTGTGGGTATTAAATAACAAAGGTAATGCTGTGAATACATACTTACTTATTATCAACTTCAATATACACCCCTCTTCTATCTCTACAGCGCTCCTTGCGAATCCTCCAGTATCTGCAAACAGTGCTTGATTTGATTAGAGTTTGTTGAATCCGTAAAAGAGAAAGTGGCAGGCGTCCTGAAGGAGCAGACAATAGAAGATATCCTGCACTGCTTTAGACAATGGAAGATTCGCATGGACCATTGTAGAGATGAAGGAGTGGTGTAAATTGAAGGTGATAGTAAGTAAATATAAAAGACATCAAAATAAAACGTTTTACAGCATCAGTCTCATTCTTTAATAGCCACAACTCGTACATACATTCCAAATATTTATTTATTTTGTTTTATATTATATTTGTAACTGCGTTTTTGGACGAATCTAGGCAAATGTGCTTTCGTTCATTTTGTCTGCTATTTCTTGAAAGTTTGTTCATATTGTGAGCAGATCACGAGGTCACTGCCTTTTTAGTCTTTTTTTAGCCTCCTCTGGTAACAGGGAGGAAGGAAAAGAGAGGACAAGTGGATTAGGGTGATTAATAGTTGAATTGTGGAGTGCGTTGTATTTGTTATCTATGTAGGTTTTTACTGTTGGAATGTTCATGTCGCTGTGTATGGTGTGATTTGAAATATACCAGGGTGCATATACGATTTTTCGAATTATTTTGAACGGTGCAGTTTGTATTTTATTAGTGTGGACGTGTTTTGCAAAACCCCAAAGTTCTGCTCCGTATGTCCAAATAGGTCTTAGTATGGTGGTATAGATTAGTCGCTTGTTTTGTAAGTTGAGAGGATATCTGTAGTTCAAGATATACCATATTACTATTCCATATTCCATATACATATACATATACCCATATACCATATTCCATATACCCTATATTCCAGTTATAGCACAAAACACACTACTAGTCTCTAAAAGATCTGTCTAATAGACATTGCCACTAGCGGATCCAGGATTTAATATTTAATCCAGAGGGGGCTTCAGCCCAAAAGCTTTTATTTTCATGTGTATAACGATAATTATTTTATTAAAAAAAAGAGAAAGAAACTAACTACCTGCATGAAATGGTGTTTAAGTGATTCTCAAGTCCTATTAAATGTAATGTAATTGCATTAATACTTTAAGAGATCCTTTTTTCTACAAAACTTAGTCTTTTTTTTGGAGAAGGGAGGAGGATTCATCCCGAAAGTCCACCCGTAAATTCGCCTGTGGGTATTGCAATACACCGTACACCGTTTTTCCGCTTATTACAGAGCGACTAATCTAAGTTTCTAAGCGATCCAACTTAATTATATCTTGATAATAGTTTTTGTTCTTTTTAATGTATTTTTTCTCATATTAATGAACCAAAATGTATTACCAATAAGTAATAATTTTTTTTTAAAACTTATTTATTGAAAAATATTACAATCTGTCTCTAAGACATTTATAATAGTTCACAGATCACATTCACACTCTATGTACAATAAACAAAATAAATTATACAGAAAAATAATATATATCCAATAAATAAGAATAAAATAACCTAAAAAAAAAATAAATAAAAAGAACGCGTACACACCTATATACAATATTTACAATTTGGCGAGAGAACTCAAAACCAGACTTGTCCCTCCAACTGTGGAGGGAAAAGTATGACTCCAGGAGTTAATAAGTAATAATAATAAAAACTTTTAAATACTAGATTATAATCATAGTTTGTTCGTATTCCGTCAAATTATATTCTTATTTTAAATATATCAAGATTATGTTTATATATATACATAATTTTGATATATTTAAAATAAAAATATAATTTGACAGGAAACGTATAATTTATATATAGTATATGTAGATATAATAAACAAATAGATATATATACGGAGATCTCAGCCTCATTGCTTCCTTATTAAGGGATATTGCTTCCTTATGGTGGGGCTGATATTTAAATTTCATCTAGTTTCAGTCTATTTTAAAATTAATGATTTTTCGTTTCATGATTTGTATATTATTTTTGCAGCAGGTACTGTCTATGCCCGAGGACGACCCCAAAAGGATGGAACTCATCCGAAAGTACGCAGCAATTTATGGACGTTTCGACTGCAAGAGGAAACCTGAGAAACCCCTCACCTTGCACGAAGTGAGTATTAATTATATCTCGATATAATAATTATTATTATCAATGAAATATTGAAAAATTATAAATATCATCAGAAGATAATGAAATAGAATTTCCTTAATATCTTCTTTTAACTTCAATTAATCTCTCAAGTACATACTTTTATGCAACATAGACAAAAATTTTTCGATCATATAAAAAAAGTCCCTAAAAAAAAAACGTTGATACCATTTGTAACTTTAATTATTATTAAATTAATGAAATTTAGTTGAAGCTGATTGTACGCAGTTTATTAAAACCGTGTAAAATCAATAGTGTTTATAAAATATAATCGAGAAAAAAATAGGTAAATTAAAACATAATAAAATAAATAAATAAAAATACTGAATAAAACATAACATTTAAAATCGTTCTTCTTTATTTTTTAAAGGTTAAGTGAATCAATATTTTAGAATTTAAATATTGTAATGTTCCCGTGGATATTAATAAAATTTGAAATACTTTTTTTTCGAGCACACTATGAAGGAATATTATTAATGCTAGGTATTCAAAACGAATAAAAAACGAATAAAGAAAAGATGAAAGTGGTACTATAAGGATAGGATGTCAGAAAGATTTATACGGGCAAAAGGAGAACAACACTGATGCATATCCAGCCAGGTACCGTATCTTATCTTCCCCTCAAGCCATAGCTACTGCAGGTGATGTGGGATCCATGAAATCACATTTATATATATATATATATATATATATATATATATATATATATATATTTAAATGTGATCTCATAACGTTAGGGTTAAAATTAATATGCCATTCTGATGTTTGTCTAAAAGAGTCGATTTCACACTATATATTGCACTTTTTGGTGGAGAGTGAATTAGATTGATCCGTCTGATTTCAACGCTCGGGTAAAATCGGCTATAGACGACTAATTGAAATGTTTTTACACATGATTTAAAATACCTCAGAAAATAAAAATCGGGCCTACATACTATATGCGAGGAAATTGTTCAGCATTTCATCATCTTTGTAATAATCTACGCGACGCCGTGTTAGGGAGGTGAAAAGGAAATGATATTATATGGATTAAAATATTTCAGATAATAAAAATCGGACCTGTATACTGGAAGAGAGGGAAATGTTCAGTATTTTGTTTTCTTTGTAATGAGCTATTATTTATAATTTATATTTCATATTATTAATCTCGCCTTGTTGCTGTTTTCACTTCTATCATGTCGTCTAAAGCACACACCTTGGTTGTTTTGTTTTTAAAATTTTACGTTTCCAATTTGGCTCAATCCAGATACCTATCTTTTCACAATAAACTTCAGAACCTCCCTAATCCTCTCTTTTCTAACCTTCCTTCCTCTTCGATCCCTGATAATCCCCCGAGGCTTGTGTTGCCCAAATGCGAGACCAATCTCGGTCTTGCAAACTCAGTCTTGGTCTTGGTCTTGCGCAAGAGTTTCGCAGTAGTCTTGATGTTAACTATTAGGTTATTTCTATAGAGATATTAATGTAATTTTTCAGCTAGTAGAAACGTAACTAAGCCTAAATAAAAAATTGGAAGAGTTAAATACAAAAGTATATTGGTTATACCAATTCTTTACATGTAGTAACTAAAATTGTCAATTATTGGTAACTATTTTACCTTAATTTTTATTCACAAAAACAATTTTTTTTTTTTTGCTCGTGATCTTCTAATTTAGATACTTTATCAGAATGCTACCAATGGGTAGATTCTCATGACAATTCTTTTTATGTTATTTTATTTCTCTGTACACATTTACTAGCTGTATATTTTATTTATACAATTTTAAATCTCAAGAATATTTAAAAAAAAGATTTTACGTTAAAAAAAAGCAAAAAAACAAACAAACATGTATTACACCAATAAGATATATAAATTCGATGGATCTTAATTTGTTCGAAGTCAGCGTTAAATGATGTCAACAAATGTTACTTACCTGAAGTCATAATAATGTTTGCCACGCTTTTAAATAAAATAAATCAATTTCTTGAAATATATTTTTTTAGGAAAATATAGAAATTTTTCTATATGAAAAAATTAATTAAAATTAGACCATCATATCATGCAGAGGATATACCGTAATAAGTCTAGACGAACCAGGAAGTATGATACTGACACCACAAAAACCTGATATTCAAGATGGGTGTTAATACTATCTTCCATCTTCCCACACGTAATACATGTTCGGCAGTAATTACCATTTTAAAGTTTCGTTCATTTCTTTGTAATTATTATCTCTCTAAAATCAATGTTTTGTTATAATTTCAATTATATTTATCTGATGTAGCTCAAGCAACGCAACGCAACAAGTTTTTGATCAGTCAGCCATAATTGAAATTTTATGGATTATGGATTGAATTAATGGTAGAATGATAATGAAGTAACACGACAACATACGGAGTGTTTCATGAATAAGAAATTTTAAACTTGAATTACAGTTATATTATACTAATCAGAAAAATGAGAGTGTAAAATAAAAAGTAAAAAATAAAAATTACAAATATTTAAGGTGGATAAAAGTAGAGGTTAAAGGGAGAGGGAGGGAGTATTTTTTACTGTTTTATTTCTTATTCGGAAAATTACTGCATTTATACTTAATTTCCAAAAATTTAATAGTTATGGAATTTAAACGTGGTAGCTTGTTTATGTTATAGGAGTATTATTTTTAAAATAAATAATTCATGTTTAGAAGATTTATGTGTTCATGATAAAGAAGAAATATATTAAGAAAACTGAAAATGATGCAGTAATTAATAAGAAATAATTACAGAATAATATTTTTATAAATTAAATAATTATAACGTTTAATTTGTACATCGATTTAGTAGATGTAATTGTTAAATTTAATTAATAAACTATCCGGATTAATGTAAATTTTATCCGATAAAATGTATTCATTAATTTTATCTTAATTAGCTTTTTTTGTAAGTTAATAGTAAAAATTCTGAAACGAGGTAATATTACCAACAACTGGTTTTATTCAAAAGAAAATTATCAACTTAATATAATTCGTGGCCGACTTAGAATAAAAAGCATGGGAACTAAAAGCGACCGAAGTCCGGTTGCAACCTTATCATGGGACTGACCCAGTTTGCTGCTAATTGTTGGTTTTTTCTCCTCCTTTTCTTTCTTTTTTTTTCGCCTGGAAATGCCTGGACCGACTAAATATATAATTGTATTTATAATAACTTTTTGGCTATTCAAAGCATGTGGAATACAATTTAAATTGTACAAAAGTGCGTAAGGTGAAAAAGTTAGGAATCTAGAAAGGTTTTTTTGTCTAAAATAATTGAAAAATAATTGCATTCATCATAAAAGTACTGTCGTTGTCAAATGGAATGCAACTCTAAATCAGCTTACTAACCTGAGACACGAGTGCGCCTCAAAACTTGGAAGATAAATTTAATTGATATTTCTCTTTCATCTTATCTCAAACCATTCAGTTTTTTAAATGTCTCAATTAGACTCATTGGCTGATTAATTACTCCATATTTGGAAGCTCCAGATTTTATTTTTGAATCTTCCAATAATGTGCCATAAAAAACGAAGTTGTTTCAGTCATCTCTGAATCGACGTAAATAATAAATCAACTGTACAGAAATCTAAAATGGACTCGGAACTGGTTATGAATCATTAAGAGACTAATCAAAATTAATTTGAAACTAAAACTGATGTGACAGCGTAAAATAAACCAACAAAATAAGACAGATCCAATTTCAATTATGAGGAGTGAAGAAATCTTGATAAGTTGAAACGTTTGCATGTGGGCATTTGGTCAATCTTTTTATTAAGTTCATACCACAACAAAACCACTTCATGTATCAGACATTTGTGTTTTTATTCTAATGTTGTCCTAATCAATTTTATTTTTCAATTTATGCAGCCAATCTGAGATAATATTTTTCTAAACTACAGATTCGAAAGCTTTGTGTTAAATTAATAAATTAAACAGTTTTAAGAATTGAAAATTTTCTTGAAATTTAAGTTAGGATAAACGCAGTTATGGACAGGAGAGTCAGTGATGAACAGGTTGGACTTTATTCTAAACAATAAGCTTCCTTGTTGATTTAAAGGTTCCAGTTTTTTCTAGATTGAAGAACAATGTCCTTAATTGACAACTTAATAAATAAAGTTCCCAAAAGAAAATTTTAAAATACCTATCACAGTTGTTTTTACATTACTCTTGAGGTCAGTGTATTTCATACCTTCCTACTAACAGTTTTGCTAAGTTGGACATTTCTTATCTTCATTGTTATTTTTATAATTAAATAAAGATTATAGAATTTTTCTGAGGTATACCCATTATTGGTACCTACCCTCTTTCCATTACTAGAACAGGGTGTTCATCACTTGTGCAAAAAGGTGTTTTTTTTAAACGGAAGATTATACCGGTATAAATTTTTTTTTGTATTTATTTCTTAATGATATTTACATATTGAATAAATACATCTAGTAAATTTGAACAGAATGGATATAATGACATGAAAACACACGCCCCGGAGGGTTATCAGGAATTGAAGAGGAAGCAAGGTTAGAAACGAGAGGGTTGGGATGATTCAGAAGTTTGTTATGGAAGGATAGGTATCTGGATTGGGCCGATTAGATCTGAAACATTAAAGAAACATTAAGGTCATCATGGATGGTTTTATTTGTAACAAAGTAGGGAGCATTGAGGATTTTAAGAAGGATTTTGGATTGTGAGGATTGGATACGAGGGGAATTCGATGGTTTAGTGGAGCCCCAAAGCTCAATTCCGTAAGTCCAAATAGGTCTTATTATTGTCATATATATGAGTCGTTTGTAATTGATTGAAAGCTTAGAGCGTTTGTCTAGTAAGTGCTGCAGTAGTCGAAAACGTCGGGCGGTTTCTAGTCGTTTCTGTCTGGTATGGAGTTCTGTATAACTGAATATTTTTTCAATTTTTGTTTTAAATAGAAAAGGAGACCCTATGGATTCTAAACGTCAAAAGGAGAAGTTTATAACTATAATACTTATAGTGGCTTAAGCCAAAGAGGATAAAACAATTTCTAAGCTATGTCCATCGCTTACGCTAGTTCTAATAGTTATTTTTTAAAATAAAATAATGTTTTATTTTTGACCGCAACTATATTTATATCTTCTCATTAGCTGGTGGGTCAAGAACATGGCGGTTAGGTCGTGATGCTAACCACATTTCCTTAAATTAGCTGCTGTTCTAGAAACTAGACCTTGTCTTTTTCTTTTATCTTTTTTTCTTTTCTTACTCCTACTTCAGTATTTTTATTTATTTATTTATTTTTTTTTTTGTTCGGATTTAGAAAAAACCTTTGTAATTCTGAATTAATTTTGGATTTATAAGCCTGAACGCTCTTTAATAATTTCCTCACGTTGTTTGCGTTTTCCTTCCAGGTGTCCGTGAACGAGGCTGCGGCTCAGATCTGCAGGTACCGACCAGCTCTGCTCACCAGGAGGGACGAACTCTTCCCCTTGGCCAGGCAGGTTGTTAGGGACTCCGGATATCACTACTCCAAGGGTCATTCCAAGTAAGTGTATTTAATATAATTAATTACAATACATCTTATATAAATAATAAATAATCTTGTATTATTTAAAATAGACCGGATGAGTATTATTTTTTTTTATATATTTAATCTTAAAGGGTCTTCATGTATACATTAGTTCTTACCTATTTTATCATTATTTGAGCAAATGCATATTTCTATTTATTTCATGTATAAAAAGGGATTGAGTAGGCCAAGACCGATGTTGCAACAATTTGGAGAAAACTTTACCTTTTATGTTACTTTTATAATATTAAATCCAGTTTATTTTAAATAAAAATACATTGTATAAATTCACATAACTTGAATTATTTCTTGGATTTGGAGAGGGCTTGGAAAAACATAATATCATAACATGAAAAGTTTTTCAAATTAAAATGGCGGCTCGAAGAGTATTTACAACGAGGTATGAGGATTACAAGCACATCATCTCACAAACATATAAATGAAATAAAACCATATATATTGATGTATCGAATTAAATAATAACATCTATTATTTGAGGATTGCAGAATGCAGAATAAGAACTGGATTTGTTTTATATTATTTCTAATCGACAAGTTGATTGTTAGTAAGAGTCTTCATTGCCTATTTGCCGAACACTTTTTTTTTTTTTTTTCTCTACCTCGCCTTTTCCGCCGGTTTTTCCCGGAGGAGAAGGCGGACAGAGGAGAAGGCGGTGGATTAATGCCAGTCAAGTGCCCCCGTCGACGGGATTCGAACTACTAATCTCTAAACTAATCAGGTTGCCAGACAACGCATTAGCCCGCTCAACAACCCAGTCTCACATCACATCGTTTTTATTTAACCCCATCAAAATCTAAACCTGCCTCCCCGCCCCCCATAAAAATGAGCAATTTAGAACAATATTTTAGGCAATTTATTTCGAAATTAATTCCATCTCATAACATTGACTCGCTCTGTTGAATAAATTAAGAATCAATCACCCAATTAGTGTTACTATTAGAAAATGTTAATTGTTATAAAAATATTTTTTCTTAAGCTAAAGATAATTCAGTTCGAAATTTACCTCCCTCTAAATTCTGCCACTAGTGCAGGTGTCCACTTTGCCCCTCTCTAGTTCCGGCACTTCCGAAATGTCAAATATAACGCAATTTCCTCAACGTCTCGGTAACCCCATTCGTTAAGCGCTGGTTAACTTCATCGTTATTAGTTCCTCGTTCAGTTCAACAACTTTCCAAGCCCATTACAGTCTCTCTAATTGCTATTATTTAAGTCATTTTTAACCAGCAATAAAACCGAAAAATGTAGAAATCGTGAAATGTTATATAAATATTCTGCCTTGGGCTGAGACTATTTCTGCTTGTGTTAGTTGAAGAAGGCTATAAACGGTATTTGGTTTCCACGATCTCGAAGATATTGTTCCTATTCGATAAGTAGGGGGAGATTACCCAACAGAGCGTGGAACTATATCCAACGGCGAAACCATTTCGTCGATTTGGGCCACCTTTTTTTTCTGATGAGCTCTAAGACTAAAAAAGGAGTTAAAAAAGGCCGGACCCCCAATTCGTTCTGAGCCTCGACCCCTCTACAGTTTTTAGGTCGCCATCTCCAGTCATCTGTAAGGCGTCCTCATTCTTATTCACTTTTTATTTGTTCACTTTTTTCTTATTATTTATTATTTTTTATTTCTCTTTTGACCCTTTCAGTCATGATAGCTCCCCTTGTTATTGTCGAGTTGGAAAATTAAGAAAGAAAGGATGTATTAAAGATAAATTACGCCTTTCTTATGAGCCCTTTAGAAACCCCTGATCAGTTATGCGTGTCGTAATGTGTTAAGGATATTTTTATGCTAATAAATGTTTAATAACTATCGGCGCATAGTTGAGATTTCAAGGAAAAATTTATTTGAGCTATGTCGCCGCAACTAACAATTAAAAAATAGGATAAATTGGTATTTCTCTAAATTTGTTTATCAACAAGTGTCTATAAAGTATTAATAAAGTAAAAGGGTTAGCGAACCCAGAGATTCCTTGCCGATCTCACCATTAGTCTTCAATTACAAACCATACTCCACTACATCCCATCTGAACTCAAATCCTTAAGGTTCAAGCTAACTCAAATGTTTCATCTAGAATTTCATTCGGCCCCTAAAACACCGGCCCGTTAGATTAGCGTGGATTACCACTTTAGTAATTCGTGCGTTATCCATATCGACAACATCTCACGTTCATTTTCTATAGCTATAGCTTATCTTAGCGAGTGCATGCACTTCGGCATTTAGTAGCCATCTAAATTATCCTATTGACTCATTCTTCTTTGGTCAAAATATTCTAAACTATACTTTACTCGCTAATATCTCAAAGCGTTCTTCTTCCTTCATTGTGAGCAACCCCCCTTTTTTCTCTTTTTTAAGTTTTATCTAAAGGGTATAGAAAAAAGAGATGAACTGAGTAATTTTTCACCTGTGAAATAACAAGTATTACCTCATCTTGACTTAAATTCAAATTCATGAAGAAATAACTCTGTAAATTGAGGGGAAAATCTTAATTTTTATCTCCTTCAATTAATGAGGGATTAAATTTTAATTTTATTTTACAATAATCGCCTGTTACTAATTATTAACATTAAGGAAGCCACTAACAATTTTTTTGACATAATAGGCTCCGAAATGCAAAGATCAGTTGAAAATTTTACCCGATTATAATCAGCGGCTTACCAAAGTGAACCGGAGGAAGCGATCCGCCTCGCACCCTGTTTCCTAAACGGCCCCCACACCTCAAGAATATTTTTGAAGGGGTCCCAAAACTAAACCCACCATAAGACTCCAATCGTCTAGGTATGCCACTGATCACAATACTTTTTAAGGGGTGAGATGGCCGAGCGGGCTAACGCGTGTGCACATCACTGCTCCTTGCCCAGCAACCTAATAACCGAAATTAGAGACGATAAAACAATAGGAGTACTCAGGGTGCTTTTAACTCTGGGATTAATCCCTCGCCCTCAACCCCTGACCCGGGAAAACCACATATAGCATAAAATGTGAGGTAGAGGAGAACAAAAAAAAAAAAGAAAATCATCAATTTAAATAAGAAAAGGGAAAAAGTTGGCTTCGAAAATAAATTCAATATTTCGGAATGTATTCCTGATTCGAATTTTTATACTATCTCTAATTTATAATCTCTAACATTAAATATTTATGTTTCAGTGTTATCCTGTAATTACTTTTTATATTAAATACCGAAAGATTTCTCATATTTCTGATTATTAGATTTATTAAACGAATTCTGTCTCTTAAATCCTTATAATTCATTATTTTTATTGTAGTTTGTTTAGGTTTAATGTTTTCATATACTCAAACAAGGAGACTAATATGGTTCATGATTTTGGTTACCAAGCTATTATAGCTAGAGCTTAAATGTATCTAATTGTTTTTGTTTGTTTCAATTAAAAGTCAGTTTCCCTCTTATGTTGATCAATGATTATAATTCCTTGAATAAATTATTCATAAAGAAGTTTTTCTTTAATAGATATTTTTTTTGCTAATCTTTATTAAAATTATAATAGAAATATCATCTTAATGGTTACAAATTGTTTTAGGTCCTATGCCAAAACTCCTTTTAATGGTGAACAACCACCTTTAAAAAGATCTCGCCTAGAGAACTACTCACCTGATTACGAGGAAGCATTAAAGAGGAGACAGGTATGTTTATAAATATTAATATTAGTTTATAGTAATTTTAATCACTATTCTTAATCAACTATGAACTATTGAAATCTTATCCTACCAGGTAGATTTCCATTTAAAAAAGAAACAGCAGGAAGACAATAGATAATGTGAAATAGCTGTTATATTGAATTTTTTAAAAGTTCAATTTGTGTAAGAATATTATTTCTCAATTACACAATATCAAAAAGTTTTTAGTGTCTGTCATATTCTATTTTCCAATCTCAACAAATTAAAATGCTGGAATTCTCTCTACTGTATTAAAAAAAAATGTAGTGACCGTGTATATGTATGGCAGAGGTCTATGGTTTGGAACAAGACAGTAAACACACCCACTACATACCATCCTTAAATTGCCGAAGGTGGTGACTTCATTAAATGCAGGCATTTCAAATTATTTGATGGCCTTAACTACTCGACAAACCAACTTTTCAAAACACTCACAAACATATGAGATTGCAGATTTACATTTAAAACCTCTTATTTAAATGAGAAAAAAAATAGACATTTACAGGACACTAGTGAGCCCCGTCACTAAAGCAAGACACACCATAACAACAAATAAAACAGTACATCAGATTCTCCACCCCTCACTTTAAATGTACCATGTGCAGTAAAAGATGTCATATTTAATCCTCAACCTACCGCCTATTTTCAACATCACATCCTATAGGGTTAAGAAAAAAATATAGTGAACATGTAATATTTTATTTTCCAAACTCAACAAATTAAAATGCTAAGATAAAGACTTGAAATTTTTTTTTTTTTTTCCTGCTTACACTATTTTGAAAAATAATACAATCTGAACTATAGAATACATGCAAATTACAGTTATACAATTTGAGCAATGAGTAATACAATTAAATGAACAGTTGTATAATTTGTAAAATGGAGGCTGGTCTGCCGTTAGGAAGACATGGGACCTAGTAACAAAAAAAAAATTGACTTCAGCATCAATGTTCTCATAGCACTAGCTGTGAAAACAAGGTTTATTAGATTCAAAGATTGAGCAATTGAAAAAAAATAAAATAGACAAATTTAAAAAAATACCTTTATAACTTAAAAACAGATGTAAAAGTAGAGTTAACACATTAGAGCTCATATAACTTAGTACTTTTTCATGAACAACAGTAATACATGGAGGTGAGGTGCCAACTTTGAATAGGCTCTCTTGATGGTTAAAATTTAAAGTAAACCACAGCTGATATTTAATGTAAACGTTTTTGGTTCAACATCTAGGCTCAAACCTGGACTAGGGGTTCTGGAGACAAGTGTCTTTTGTCACTTAGGTACCATAATCTCCCCTATTCAATTATGAAATACACTTCAAAATTGAATTTTGTATGTTTTTATAGTAAAATAATACTATATTAAAGTTTTTTGTTGATTTTAAAACAATTTTAACATGAAAATTATGAATTTTTTTTTCAGGAAAGGCTTGACCAAATAGCTGAAGAGTTGAGATCGGTAAAAGAAAAGACTGATGACCTCCTCAACAAGGAAGATAGTGGACAGGCCGAGGTAGAGGCTCTTAGTTCCCGCCGACAACAGCTGCTCACTGAGCAGACCCAACTAGTCAACCAGAGCCTCCAACCGAACAGGTCTGGTTCGAAAGATTGTGTCATATTAATTGACTGAGTAACATTAGAATAAATATTATTTGGAGTCGTAAGTTAACATGTATTTACTAATTAAATAAGTAAGTTACCATTTCATACTTTTTGTTCCTATTTCTCTTGAAAAGTAATCTATCTTTGAAAATATATATAATTCCTCTTAACTCATTATTTAGACTACTCTTATTTCAGGTTGTACAGGCAGAACAGCAGTGGTAAGATTCTGTACGTGGATCCGGATCGACCTGATACAGACGATACGGATTCTCAACTTTCTTTTAGCAATGAAAGTTCTCCTCTTCCTGTGAGTTAATATCTGAAAATTGATAAGACAAATATTAAGGGTCTGGTTTATAAGATAAACTGATCATTAATTTTTTTTATTCTTCTGAAAATCTTCCAGTATAAGAGATTTCTCCTAATTAACATTTTTCATTAAGTCTACGATCAGTTTGCTTATTGGTCTAACCACATTTGTTTATTAAAATAAGTCTGTTTAACACTATGATTAATTGAATGTTAATGCGTAGTTAAATATACTTTTTTTAAAATAGAAAATGAGTAGTGATAATTAACAAAAACATTTCATTATTTTGTATCATTCATACATTTTAGTCAATATTGTGGAGGAACTGCTAAATTTCTTTTTTTTAAATAAATATATTTATTAACAATGGAGATATTGTTGACAGTGAGTATAATCAAACAGAAGATGGTTATAAGTGCTGTCAGAAAAGAATAACACTAGGTAAATTATACTGCTGATTAGATTATTTCGTTATGGGTAGATAATTTCAGGCTAAGTTATTGGTCCCACTAAAGTTATGTTAATAACGAGCAAGAAATTATTTGTTTAATTAGATAATATTTAAATCTGTGACTATCTTTAAATGTAGAATAAATAAAAAAGTCCCTTAGCCCAGTAAGAGTAGAGGTGAATGATTTTCAACTTTGTGGTAGTTTAGACAGATATACCTGTACTGTCCGTAGTACCCTCTAACCATCTAATTCATCTCCTGAATTTCATTAAATGGTCATTTTAGAAAAATATTATTAATGAGAAAGATTAACAGGTGAAGTCAGGATATGTTCAATGGTAGTTTTTGAGATATATCAACTTAAGCTACAAGCGTAACAAGGAGATTCTAAAATGTTGACTACTCATAACATAAGATGAAAATAATTTTTCTATTTTACTAATAATTTACATTTATGTTATTATTTCATGTGGATCATTAAAGGAGATGAGTGACTCACGAGATTCCACCAATAGGGAAGTGGATGAAGGCAGTCCGGGTAAAGCGCAGGTAAAGCGGGCGCCAACTAACAGCTTCTCTTGCACAAGATCACACCTAATGCCTCCAGCTTTCCCACACCGCCAAATGACACACTAACTAATTTTAAAATATCTTTTATGCTACTAATTACTAATCAAATCTGTGCATTTTCTTCCAACTTGATCAGTGCTCCTATTCTAGTCATTGGTAGTAAAGTGAAAATTATATTTTTGTATCTTGAAAAAATTAAGATAACCAAGTTATCACGTTGTTTGTTATCGATATTGTAACTTCTATTGCATTATGTTGAAGTGAAATTGTTGTTTTGAAACGATATTAAATTAATTTTTAATTGATTCCTTTTTTATGCTAAGATTAAATTTTCCTATGAAATATTCTTCAATTATATTATTAAATTTTAATAGAAGAATAAATATACAGTCGATTATTGATAACTCAAATTTTAAGTGCATGAGAATTCACTTTGAGTTTTAAATAGCTCAAATAAAAAAAGTAGTTTAATTATACATTAGATTTTGATATTTCTGATTTTAGTAGCAATGTCAAGGATCAATGCCTCACTACTACTTGTAATCACTGTCTCATATATTATTTTTTGATACCAAAGAGTATAAAATGATTAGGAAACATTTTTTAGGAACTTATAGCATCTGTTGACAATCCTAATTCTTACTTTAAGGTCTTCTGATTTTTTATCATTGGTTTATTTAAAAAAAAAAAAAATACTGAAATAGATTTGGAAAGGCCACCCAGATGGAGAAAAAGGAAGACCTAGATTGAATTGGTTGAAGGATGCCCAGGCTAATCTTGAATTGCTAAGAATAGAGAGAATGAGAAGAGCCATAAGGAATTAAACTAAGCTGACAATGTGACTAAAATTGTCAAAGAAACTAAACCCCTTCATGTAATTAATTTGTATGATTTTTCTTGAAAAAACAGTATTTTAAATAAATAGAATTTGAGAAAGAGATATGGAACATCAATACATTTTCATTGAATCAATTTATATAAATTCGTTATTTACAAGAAGTTCTGTACAACATCTTTAAAAAAAAAAAATCATGAAAATTCTTGACACTAATTTAAAAAAATATAAAGAAGTAATAAAACATCAACTATTGATTAACTAACTCCAACTGACAAATTTCTGATAATATAGTAAAGAAGTGGCGTATAAAGAAAAATACAACAACCTGTTTTGATTTTTTTTTCATTTTATATGGTTAGGTATGAACAATCTAGTTTTAGAAGTTCAATTTTCAATAATATGGGTTTAGTAAAACTTTTCAATTTGTGTAGTTGAATAATTAGTTATAATAAATAATTTGTTTCTCTGAGCTAAAGAAATAAAATTTCATCTTACATTATTTTTTTATTATCTCTTTCTTTATTTTTTTTCATAAACAAAAATAAATAGTATTATTGAATAATTTAAGTTATCAATAATCAACTGTATATAAATATGGAAATTGGTGTTTCTAGTAAACAACATGAAATGCAAGGTGTTTGTGTTTTCCATACAGTCCTGTAGCCAGCTTATAAAAAGTTGAATTATTAATATTTAACTAATACTTTTTGGAGTGCTTCATTATATCAAATCCTAAAAGAATATTCATCCTACAGCTGAAATATTCACCCTAGTAGTTAACAATAATTAATTACGGCGATAAATTCGGAGGATAGGGCAGGTGCTAAAATTACAGCATCCTACAAATAGTTTTCCTTAAAATAATTGTTCGTTGTAAATGAAAAAAAATAATCTAGTATTAATTATATCATCAACTTAAGAACTTGTTATTATGTGTTTAACTCTCTCATAGTGTAAAGATGTTTTTCGAAGAATTGCAGATTTTTAGATGTATAATTATTTCTATTAAATTTAGAAAAGAAAAAATAGGTTGATACTAATTAGTCATAATGTATTTTAGTCTATAGTATGTTCTATTCTGATAGGGTATTATGAAGCTTTCCCAAACGTTTTAGCTTGATTTTAATAAGACAAATTCTTTGGTAGTTGGCTCTCAGACTATTACCAACCACATACAAAGATGGCAACTAAAATTAAGACTGTAACAAAAGTAGAAACGTGCAAGGAATAAGGGAGCATTGAAAATGGAATAGATATAATCATGTATGTTATGAGAGGAAATTTGCTGGTCCAGAGGTTAAAGCAAAGTTTTAATGACCTTAATCTTATAAAGAGTTTGGTGGTGCTTGGACAGGATGTGTTGGAAGGTAATAGTAGAATGAGTAAAATTTAAAAAATATCAGACTAAGTGAAATAAAAACAATTATTTAATCACTATAATATTATGATTAATCACTATAATATTATGATTAAATGATCTTTTTTTTCTTTTTAATTTGCACATTCTTTTCATTCTTTATCATGTCAAATGTCATGAGGAGACACATAAAGAGATCCTTTGTCAGTTCAATCATTCTCTCTTTTGTACCCTCTGTGATAGCTTGATTTTTATATCCTTATAACTTCATTTTAAGCATAAACTTTCTCATTTTTTTGTTAAGGAGAAACTCATTTTTTTGTTGAGGAGTAACTCATTTTTTTTCACAATGATTCAATTTTTCTACATTAAAATTAAGATGAACGGGTCACTCATACGGTTTAAAGCAGAGTTACAGAGTTAGCTTTAATCTCTTTATCTATTCCACTTCCCAAATATTTATAGGAAGTTGATTACTACTGGAAAAGTTTGGAAATTTCACATTTATTTAAATATTTTACTTAATTATCCAAGAATCATAATTCTTTCACTACTTTATTTTTATGTCAACTTCTCATTTCTAATTATCATCCAATATACTACTACATTTCGCAATCTGTTTATATCTTCATTAAAAAACTTTGTTAAATATTTTCATGATCACTTAGGACTGTTATTGTTACTTTACTTTTTATTATAAACTATTTTCAAGATTAAAATTATTTTTATAGTCTAGAATTAAAGTTTTAAATATTCATCAGAATGAATATAGCTGTGAATTGAAGAGAAAAAAATATGCACAGGTATTATGCAAAAATTAAACAGGTACGATAAATCAGCTAATTTGGTCTTTTAGTAGTGGATGATAGACGGTGATGGATTGCATGATGAGGGACTCTTTAATAACAATTCTTACTTTATCTCAACTAATACCTTAATGTCTGTTTTTATCTTTATAGTAAATTTTTTCTTTATATTTTTATATATTTAAGACATATCTATGGTCACAAGGAATATGTTGGTATACCAGCTAAAAATTTGTAAAATGGTGAAAAGAGAATATGAAAATTTCTTGTCAGCATTGAATTTTAACCATTAATTTTAACCAGCTACACTCTTTATTTAAAAAAAAACAACAAGATTTACAAAAATAATTAGTTTATTTACATTCTTGCCTGTCTTTTGGACCAAATGTTTGCAGCTGTTGAATGTTATGCATGCTTGAATAACAAAACACTGCAACGTTTAAATCAATTTACAATTTCTATCATTAGTTATGCATTCACTTCATTTTTAAAATTATTTTATTCCTTTATTTCATTTAATTTAAGTTCAGCCACTATTCTGAACTTTCTCACTCTCACGATTTCACTGGTACAGTTCTTCCTCTCCTTCTCAGAGTAAAGTGACAACTTCTTTCCACCCTTGTATAAAGGTGTAAGTACAAGTACTTCTCCTTGGTCATTATTTGAGAAAAATTTCTCTCTATCAGAATGTAGAGACGTTTCTCCCGCAGTGCCTCATGGGTAGTAAAAAATATTAAAATATGCTCAGTAGTCTTCAGAATCCTACATCATGGACACAAGTGATAAACGTTTAAACCAGGCTTAACAAGCTTTGCTTGGAAACACTTATATGTATATTATAATAGTCCAGGAGGACTTGTATTGCTTCTAGTCATGATCTGACAGTAGGAAAGTGGTTTCTAAGGGTAGCATCTTTTGTAGTCATATTTAAAAAAAGTAATGCAATAGTTTAAAAATTATGTACAGAAAGCTGTTTTTGTAGGTATACGAATATACTCCATGTGACTATAGATTTACACTAAGACCTCTCTGGAATGTGAATCAATATTATTTACATAATAGTTACAACAATTTTAGCACCCCAGCTCTTAAAATGAAATTAAATAATTGCTGAACAAGAAATATCTTCAACTATTTCTTATTAATTTAAAAATCAAAATATGTATTAATCCAGAATTATTTGAAATATGTTATATATCATCATATAAATTCTAACACCTCCTAACTTAATTTTTAACTAGAATGAGTTAGGTTCGTAACTGGAAGAATTATTTCATGCTCATTCAGGTGAGAATCATAAATGAATCAAACATGTTTTCTAGACTTGTTGAGATTCAAATATGGTAAAATTTACAAAGAGGCCACTAGCAACAAAATTAAGATTTTTTTTTACCCTCTAGTAAAGTCGTGAAATGAGTTAGGTGATGTAAGAATTTATATGATATATTGAGGTAAAATATATTAATGTTTTGGCTATATGGCTTCTAATTATATTTATTCAATAACTCAGCCACATGGTTATTTATTCAATATTCTTCCGATTGAGTTAAAAATGGTTTGACACTCAGACATTAGTTATGCAATTTTCAAAATTATAATTAAAGTTTGGCTGATCAATTTAATAATATATTTTTAACAAATTGAAAACGAGAGCAGACACACAAAATTTAAAAAAAAAAACTGCTTGGAATAAAAATATAATAAAAAAGGTGGAATTTGATTCGAACAGACCTTTGTAAGCTATAGTATTAATTCAGTTTAAATCAACATTGTAGAATAGACCTTGTTATAGAATTCTGTACTTCATAATTCTACAGCTAGGTCCATTCTGTTATGTAAAATAAAAATTAAAATGGTAAAACTGGTCATTTAGGCAGCAGAACCAGATTTGTTCGAATTTATTTTATTTTAAATCCGGGTATGCTTTAAATTATACTATGAAGTGTATTATATATTGAAATTTTTTAAAAAATACATCAACAGATATATTTTTTCTGATTGTTTCTTTCAGTTTTTTTTTTTGTTTTTTTTACAATTGTTATTATAAACTAAAAAAATAAATAAATTGCTGATAAGCAATTACATTAAAATGACTTTAGAACCATTATATTTCTATATGACTTATCATTCACATTTTAATGGGGTCTTGTTTATTTTGTCTTCATTGTTTCTTTAGATTCTTCTCATTAAAAATCAAATAAACAGTATTCAATTTTACAGAATAACGAATCTGATGATGATATTTCGGAAAAGGAGTCTTCACGAGATGCTGGCCAAAATGATGATGACGGCTATGAAAATTCGTTTTATCAAGAAAATAAAGTCAAAGTATTAATTTATTTTTTTATAACAGACATTCATAATCTTAAGTATATTTTAAAACCGTTTGTTTTGTTTTTAGGTTATATCGTCTAGTGGTGGTCACATTATTGCAGTTGCAAATCCAGCTCTCTCGATGTCACCTGCCATATCCTTAGAGAATGGAAGAACACCTATACTTAACAAAGATGGATTGTCTCCTATTGATCCTAAAATTTCATAAATTGTTCATAAAGTGATACCAAAAATTAAAGTATTGTTTATATTATATATATATATTTAGCTTGGAATTGTAAATATGTAATCTATAGAAGTGTAAATTAGTGTAGAAATTGCCAAAGTATTTTATTGTTCTCTTTGAGCAAAATGTTGTTGATTTGATTTATCAAATAAATTATTCAACTTACATCATTCTTTGCCTTATAATGATTACTAAAAGAGTTAAATAGTAATTTAAAAAAATTCTTTCACACAGAATATAGAAATTAATAAAATGTGGAAAAAATTGACTAGTTTATAAAAATTTAATTGGCCGATACAGCAATATTTATATTATTTTAATTATTTATTTATATTAAAATAATTAATAATTAATTCTCATCAAATTTATGTGTGATATAATTTTAAATTAACATAAATTTTTATATCCACAGTGATAATAAAATGGCTTTGTACATACTGTATCTTCTTTTTTGTTTATCAACCCCTTATAAAATTATGATTAGAACTACAATGAAAATTATTTCTTTGGAATTTATATAACAAAATAAAATAAAGACTACTTGTTATTTAAAAAGATTTTTAAAATATTTATGTGTTTTTAATCCTATTTTTTTATGATTCTATTCCACATAATTTTATTTGTTATTTATTTTAATATTATACAGTTTAACCAGAGTTAAATACTACCCCTTTTACTTCGCTTTTGTTACTTGTTTAAATTAATACACATATAAAAAACAGTAGGATCTTTATTATTATTTTATCTAGTCTGAGGGTTCACTATTGAATATTATTAAGAGATTTAAATTATAATTGGTAGAAAAAAATAAAAAGTATGAAAAAACAGAATTAATAAGAAAAATTATAAATTTGTTTGAATTAGTATGACTACTGATTAATTTGACTCATAAATATTAATTATTTCTCCCTACTTGCCTTTCTATTTATAACAAACTTAGGCCAACAAATTTTCACATTCTCCAGTCTGTTTTTTAAATTTTTAGATGTATTTTTTCAATCTATCCAACCAACAAACTTTAGCACTAAAAGAATTCAATAAATTTTTTTTAATGCTTTTCTGAATGTGGTTACTCCTTAGTCTTAAAACAGTTAACTTTGCTGGCCAAAGTCTGGGATGCCATTTTTTTTATTCTTCAAAATTCAACGATAGAGGAACATCTTGATATCATATTTTTGGTCAACACCAGTTACTACTTTGATGATTTTTTTTTTACTGAGTAAAAGATAGTTTCAGACTTTCTGATAAGTAAGTTTAAACCCTCTTTAAAACAAATATCACAATTGGCTACTAGAAAAGACTTGATTAGTAATGAAAAATATAAACACAAACAAACCGAAATTCATAGAAATGATTCTCTCTTGCTCCCTCCTGTCCTAATGTCTTAAAATGTCTTAAATTAAAGATTATGGAAATGACGGAAAAGGTTCCAAAAACCTTCCATAAAGTAATTGAACAAATTTCAAAAATATTTAAAAATGTAAGGCCTGTAAATTAAAACTTTTTTTGGAGTTTCTTAAATTTTTTAGTGTTATGGTCTCTTGATTTATCATGATCCGTCTCTAAGTTATAGAGATCTTTTCATGGGATAGATGAAGACCCTTCAACAAAGGGTAAATGAGGCTTATTTTTTATTCGTCAATCCTATAAGGTATTATTTTCATATTCTGATGTGGGATGTATACTGTTTCATTTACTTCATATATTAGCACATTCTGAGATATTCCTGAGAAAAGAAATTTTGGAAGAATAAGGTACTTGCATGGAAAAAACTGTGAAAATTTGAAATACAATAAATTTTCTTAAGTAATAATTACTGATATAAAATTCAGATTATATTTTTTAATAATAAAAACGATTCATAATTAGCTAATAGCTTGAAATAACAGTGTGACTAGGAGGTAAGGTGCGGACTGAAGGAGTGAGGAGAGTAGACCTAGTATTATATCTGTACATCTGCTAAACACGATACCTTTCCATCTCTCTCATGTCTACTTCCTAAACATTTTATATCAGGAGATATTAATGCTTAAAGTTTAATAACATAAATGAAATGGTCATGAAATAAAATATCCTGAAATTTTTTCAATGATGCTTCTTTAATCCTAAAACTAATTGTAATTCTTTTTTAAATATGACAAGGATGAAAAAAGTTATAATTTTTCTATATATACATTTTTTTTAAGAAACCTATGTGTTGAAGATATAGATGTACAAATTTACTTCTGAACTAACTGCCACTTTAGTTGCAAAAATGAATCCAATCGGCATAAAAAAGTTAGTAAATAGTTATATTTATAATTAATTTTTTACTTTAAATCTTTGGAAAATTGTGAATTTCCGATTAAAAAAAATATTGAGATTTAGTTTTTATAGTTTATAAAATATTAGATTTTTACTTCATTCAGATAAATCAATTAAGTTTTTACATTTAAATGAAAATGTGATAATGGAAAAAATGTAATATTAAAGAGATGCAAAATTATTTATCTTGTTTGCTGTTACTATATTTTTATAGCTAGCTTATTTTATTAATTTATGAAAGATAATAAAACACATTTTAAGTCCATATTTTTACTCTGAGATGACAAAGGAAAAATATTTTTTGGATGGGTGTTATGAAAGTGTTTTTTTTTTTATATCCATTTTTAAGTTTTGTTTATGTTTTTATCCTCTTCCTCACCTTTTAGGCTGAATGGATTTTTCCCCCGAGCCATGGGAGAGGGCAGGGGAATTATTCCAGGTTTAAAAGCATACTGTACTAGAAATATTCGTCTATTTTGTAAGTAATGAGTAACGTTCAATAAACACAGTTCTATTTCATTATTTACATTGTTTAAAGCCAAGTATTTATTTACAAGATAACAATGTCTAGTTTTCTTTCTGTTTTCTTTCATATTCATAATGTCCTCTATTTCATATTTCACTGTAATTTCATATTTTGCATGGATGATAGCTCAAAATAAATGCATAAACATCAATGTTTTTCTTTAAAATAAATTAGAAAGTGATTTTCATTTTCCATATATTTATTTTTTTAATGATCCAATGATTTTAAACTTGGAACACTCAATTAAAAAAATTAAAGAATATATAGAATGCAAGTTTCTTTATTATTATTTGCTGGCTAAGCTCAAACAAATTTATTATCTTAAGGGTACCTGACTATTTGGGAAGCAATTTTTTATACATTTTGAATATTCTTATTCATTGTTCTAGCTTTATTCTGCAAATAATTATGTTTAACTTTAGTGTGATAAATAATTGGGCCAGTAGATGGAAATCACCATTAAAAGTCATGTTTAACATAAATCATTTTTAGCTTCTATTCAATCTGAAGAAGCTAAAAATTAATTCTTCATAAAAAAAAAGTTACATGAGTTGCGAAAGGCAAGGTCAAAGCAAACAGAATCATGTTTTTCTTTCATGATTCATCTATTTTGTTTATATTTCTTAATTTCACATTCCTACATCCCATTCTACTTTTCAGTATTGAAGATGTTTTTTTCTCCTGAAGTTACGGTTCTTATAAAGATCCCTTAAAAGTCTAAATATCTATTATAATTACATGATAAATCTAAAATTACTAGTCAGAATTAATTAAATTATATAAACACTACCTCCAGTTTCTTAAATATACTTATAGTTTTTATTAAATAAATTTAGACATGCCTGAAAACTATCATCTCTGCTGCAATATTTCTCATAGATATATTCATCCAGTGATTTTAAGAATATTTACAAAGTTAAGAAAATTCCTATTTGAAAAATATGAGAGCTATGATTTGTATTATATATAAAGATATTTTTTCTAAACACATAATGGTTAAAAAAAAAAAAAAAGAAATCTGGTTCGTGAATCACAAGACTTTCACTTACCACCCATTTTTGAGCAAAAATAAGCATTTTCAGACAAAGGGGAAGTGAAAGTAAAAATTATAGATGCTATATTTATTTATATTTCATTGTGGGTGTTTTTATTTGTTTAAGTACCCTTATATCGATCGATTGTGTTGTGCACACATGTGCTAAGTGCATAAGATAAAACTTGCACTTGCACCACATGTGTGCACAATACCATCAATATATACAAATTTTAATTTGTAATCAATGCAATTAATTATTAAATAATATCAACTATAGCAAATACGAAAACCGCATGTGTACATGTACATAATATTGTCGGAGTCCATATTATATTAAGCTCACATTATGCATGGTAGCCTGTTCTAATCTTTCGGACGTGCTTGGGAGATGCTCAGACGTGCTAGAATCAGAGATGGGCAAATGCTACTCTGAGTTTGAGTACCACAGAATTTAATTACAACTTCAGTTGATATCAAAGGATTAACTGAAGTAGTGAGTGAATATGATACAATTTGAGTGAAACACTTGGTATTCGGTACTATAAGTAGCATTTGCCCATCTCTGGCTCATATTCCTTTGGTTCCTCCATCACAGCTATTATCTGTTACGATCTATTATTTCTCCTTTACCTAATTATAAAATTCTTTTATATTTTATATTTAACTATTTTTTATAACAAAGATTAATGTGAAATGTTTAATTATTTCAAATTAAAAAAATTAATGGTACTTTAGAGAAAGCTAATATTGAAAATTAGCCATTTAAGCGTTGTTAGAGAACATAAATGAGAATAAAACCTACATTATATTAAAAATTACTAAATAATACACTGATATACTGAGTTTAATCAAAACTGTTTTTGAAAAATTGTAAAAATGTGTTAGATCAACAATATAAAGTACCAGTTCCGGTTTGCAAATTTTACAAAAATGTTGCTGTAACATTCCAGGCTTATAAAAACGTCAAATATGCAATTTCAGTTTCATATGACTTTTCATTTTTGAGCTAGGAGGTTCACACACAAACACAGACAGACCATTTTATGGGACTTGGTTATTTGGACTCAAGGTGCCTCAAAATGTGTATTTCAATTGAAAACTAAGATTCGAAAATTATCACGATCCCGCATAAATTACCCTTAATATATATTACATGTATAGCTAAGTGAAAGTAATACTTACCTTTTCTATATGATTCTCCCTGCAATACTTAAGGAGACAGCCCTGATGAAGGCCTGAACTTCAGGTCGAAACATCAGCATATGTAAAAATAAATATTATCATTTATTTTTGCCTTCTTTTTTGACTGACCACCCCAACTATTCTTCTCTTCATTATCCACGACAGTCAACTATTTACCAATTATATGCCTTTTCTATATATTACATATTTAAGAGGGTGAAAGTAAAAATATGTAAGAAAATTTTATATTAGTTATTTGTGAAGTAATATTGTTTTGTTTTTGATAAGTTATTATAAATAGTTGATATATTATTATAAATAGAAACATGTGGATTAAAAAAAAAATGATAAAACCTGAACTGAATCATTAGCCTTAATTAATATAATATAAAATTAATTCTATTGTCAAGATTGATTAGGCCAACGCTATTTTTGATATTAAATTTATG